TGCGTGTTGCTTGCCAGAGAGAGAGAGAGAGAGAGACAGACAGACAGACAGAGATAGTGAGAAGAAAAGTGAGAAATCATCTTCTAGGGAGGACGGTCACGCCACAATCTCTTCTCCTCCAGTCTCCTCCCAGACTTTGGACATGCATGGACACATGCCCTGCATGATTTTTTAAAAAAGAGTTAGATATTTATTTAATTCTATTTGTTATTACTATTCTTTATTTTTTGGAGAGGTTTTTGCTATAGGTTGCATGTACTCGCCGGAAAGACAAGAGACAGAGCCACAGAAAGCGAGAAATCACCCTTCAGGGGGCATGGCTATGCCACAATCCTTTCTCCTCCATTCTCCTCTTGGGATCTTAGGCACGCATGCACACATGTCAGGTATGAGTTTAAGCCACAGGTCCAGGACTTCAACCGTGGTCGAGTACATGGGAGTCCAGTGACATAGCCATTATGCCAACTACTGGTCCCCCACTTATTATTATTTTTTAATTTGATGAGAAAGTGAGAGAGAGCGAGAGAGAGCGAGAGCAAGAAAGCAAGCCACCAGGTCTGGGACTTGAACCATAGTCAGCCATGTGGGAATCCAGCACCCTTAACTACCATACCACCTGCCAGCCCCATGCCGGCATGAGTTTCAAGTCACTGAGTCTGGGACTGGAACCATGGTTGGTTGTCTGGGAGTCCAGCAATGTAACTCTTATGCCACGTGCTAGCCCCTATTTTTAATTTTTAAAAAATAATAATTTATTGGGGCTGGCAGGTGGCGAGGTGGTTAAGGGTACTGGATTCCCCATGGTTGGCCGTGGTTTGAGTCCTGGACCTAGAGGCTTGCTTTCTTGCTTTCCTTTCTCTCTCTCTCTCTGCCTAGTAAAATTAAAAACTAATAACAACAAATGAAATTAAGTAATAAATAATTCAATTTTTAAAAAAGAATAATTTAATTTTATTATTATTTTTATTTTTTATAGGTCATGCATGCTCAACAGAGAGGGAGGGAAAGAAAGCAAGAAAGCAAGCTGCCAGGTCCAGGACTTGAACTGTGGTTGACCACGTGGGAGTCCAATGCCTTTAACTGCCATGCCACCTGCTGGCTAGACTATTTCAAATTTTATCCACGGTTAATGATCAATGTAATTTCTGTTTTTCTTTCCTTTTTTGAGAGGTTTTTGCTACAGGGTACGTGCGTTTGCCAGACAGACAGAGAGACAGAAAACGAGAAATCACCCCCCAGGGGGGATGGCCACACCACAATCTCTTCTCCATTCTCCTCTTGGGATCTTGGGCATGCACACACAAGCGCCCAGCTTGAGTTTTAAGCCACCAGGTCCGGGACTTGAACCTTGGTCGACTACATGGGAGTCCAGCGACATAGCTATTACGCCAACTGCTGGTCCCATAATTTCTGTTTTTCATAAGCCAAAATTGGTTATGTATATACAATATATTTTTTTTTTGGAGAGTTTTTTGCTATAGGGCGTGTGCGCTCGCCAGACAGACAGAGAGAGACAGAGAGATAGAAAGCGAGAAATCACCCCCCAGGGGGGATGGCCATGCCGCAATCCCTTCTCCTCCATTCTCCTCTCGAGATCTTGGGCACACACGCACACATGCCCGGCGTGAGTTTAAGCCACCGGGTCTGGGACTCGAACCGTGGTCAACTACGTGGGAGTCCAGCGACATAGCCATTACGCTAACTGCTGGTCCCTATACAATATACTTTTTCATTATAGAAATGTATGGACATCTTCCCTCTGTAAAACAATGGGCAGCCAAGTATCTACTCACTGTGGGGTCAGTCCAGAGAGAGCATCTTGAACAATCCTGGCAAGGGGCTCCTGGTGAGCGAGGATGCTGGCAGAAATGATCATATCCATTGATAGACACTCGGCAGAGGTAGCACATCTGGGCACCACAGCGGCAAGACATGCGGTTGCAGCCTTCGGATTTGATGAGGCCAGTCCCACACTTGTGGCATTTTCTAATGCGAGCAGCAGTCATTTTTTCTTCACTGAAACGAACAAACAAACAAAAAATGAGTGAAACTGGCAAGAAAGATAAAGAGGAAAGAAAAATATGGCCATTATGTATTTCTTTCTTTCGACACGATTGCTTATGGCTTTTACTGACATTCAAAGAATGAAGAGAGTTTATAGTTTAGAGTCAGAACTGAGTTCAAAGTTTACCAGTTATAGATAATCTTGGGTAAATTACCCAACTGCCTGAAGACTCTGTTTCCTCATTTTTAAGTTGGGAAAACACAACTTTCTCAGTGTACGAAGGATGACAGAGAAAGGGCTGGACACCTACTAGCATTTAATAAATGACTGTCCTGTTCTTTACAGGCATCCCTGCAGGCTTAATGTCAGCAGAATAATTCAAGGTCTTCCTAAAATAGCCATTTTCTTTCTTTCTTCCTTCCCTCCTTCCCCCCTTCTCCTTCTTCTTCTTTTTAATTGCCAGGGTTTTGTGGGCTCACCAAAGAGACAGAGAAGGAGAGGGAGAGAGCACCCTCCAGTAGAGTATTACAATCCCTTCTCGGCTGTTTTTTTCTTGTTGGATTCCCAGGAATGTGTCTGGAGTACTCTTCAAGGTGCTGGGGTTGGGATTTGAACTGCAGTTGGCCATGTGGGATTTGGCTCCTTTAACCAGTATGCTACTGAGCTGACCCAAATTACGTCTTATACGTACAAAGTTGGATAACTGCAAGCCCTTAAGTCTAAAAGCTTAGTTATACACCCTGAATTAAAAAAAAATTATTTCCTTTCATTTATTATATTATTACTTGTTTCTAATTTGACCAGAAAGAGACAGAGAGAGAGGAAGGTTGAGAAGAATGAGAAAATAAGCTGCCAGGGCGAGGACTCGAACCATGGTTGGCCATATGGGAGTTTTGCACCTTTAACCACGCCACCTGCTTGGCCCTACATCCTGGATTTTTTAATACAGGGCCTGGGGGTAGGGCAGAAAGGGGAAAGGATGACTACACAGCCAAGAGCTTGGACAAGTTACTAATCCTTTTGTGTTTTAGTTCCTTCTGTAAAAAGGGGATGTCATTGTATTTACCTTAAAAAATTGGCAGGAAAATGAGCAAATTTAAGACAGTACTCAAGGAATGGAAGCCCTCAACAATTACTGTTAATTAGAGGACAGCTAAAAGTTTAAAAGAAGTGCAGAGGAAGAAGGGCTGGCATGCTCTAAACCATTGCTGAAGAGATCTATCTTAGGTGGAGTCCCAAAGGATGGATGCTTTGGATATGCAGAGATGGGCAAGGAGAGTGTTTGGGTAACTATGTGATTAGGCACCTAAGCCCCAGAGTAAGATTGGCATGTTGGTGGGAGATGACAAGGGCTCGCATGAATTGCAACACAGACTGGGAAGCTGTGGGGGAAAATTGTGAGGTGGAGGAAGCTAACTGTGGAAGCCATTCAAAGCTAGACAAATGCCTCTGAGCTTGGTGTGGCAGACATATACAGCAAATACCCCTAAGAGGTGTTTTTTTTCCAAGCAAATTCTACATTCTAATGATGGTTCCTTTCTTTATTCAATAGATTTAGTTCTCTAAATCTATTGAAGCCTGTGGGCTCTGAGTTTCGATGTTTGCTGTTATATTTATTTTGCTTTATTTTAATTTACACATAATAAATGTACATATTTATGTGGTACAGTGTGATCTCCTTTTACATGTATGCATTTTATAATTAGGGTACTTTGCATTTGTATCACCTTAAACCTCTATGATTTTCTGATGAGCAATTTTTTGAATTTTGATATAAATAACTGTGGTTATAAAAATGGTGATTAATGGGTACATTGAGAAGTTTGATGGGATCATTGTTTCTGGACAAGCCAGCTCACAGATTATTAGTAGGTTTCAAAACCCAGATAGTTCTACAGAGATAGGCAGCATCCGGCTCTCTCCCCAGGGTAATTTGACACAAGACACCAATCAGATTTCGGCCATTCTGATTTGTTATAGTCATTGAAATTGTGAAAGAAATTACTTGAGTAAGCATTTCTGCATTTCCTGAGGTTGCTGTCCCTGCCTTGACATATTCTCTCTCTCTCTCTGCCTAGTAAAATTAAAAACTAATAACAACAAATGAAATTAAGTAATAAATAATTCAATTTTTAAAAAAGAATAATTTAATTTTATTATTATTTTTATTTTTTATAGGTCATGCATGCTCAACAGAGAGGGAGGGAAAGAAAGCAAGAAAGCAAGCTGCCAGGTCCAGGACTTGAACTGTGGTTGACCACGTGGGAGTCCAATGCCTTTAACTGCCATGCCACCTGCTGGCTAGACTATTTCAAATTTTATCCACGGTTAATGATCAATGTAATTTCTGTTTTTCTTTCCTTTTTTGAGAGGTTTTTGCTACAGGGTACGTGCGTTTGCCAGACAGACAGAGAGACAGAAAACGAGAAATCACCCCCCAGGGGGGATGGCCACACCACAATCTCTTCTCCATTCTCCTCTTGGGATCTTGGGCATGCACACACAAGCGCCCAGCTTGAGTTTTAAGCCACCAGGTCCGGGACTTGAACCTTGGTCGACTACATGGGAGTCCAGCGACATAGCTATTACGCCAACTGCTGGTCCCATAATTTCTGTTTTTCATAAGCCAAAATTGGTTATGTATATACAATATATTTTTTTTTTGGAGAGTTTTTTGCTATAGGGCGTGTGCGCTCGCCAGACAGACAGAGAGAGACAGAGAGATAGAAAGCGAGAAATCACCCCCCAGGGGGGATGGCCATGCCGCAATCCCTTCTCCTCCATTCTCCTCTCGAGATCTTGGGCACACACGCACACATGCCCGGCGTGAGTTTAAGCCACCGGGTCTGGGACTCGAACCGTGGTCAACTACGTGGGAGTCCAGCGACATAGCCATTACGCTAACTGCTGGTCCCTATACAATATACTTTTTCATTATAGAAATGTATGGACATCTTCCCTCTGTAAAACAATGGGCAGCCAAGTATCTACTCACTGTGGGGTCAGTCCAGAGAGAGCATCTTGAACAATCCTGGCAAGGGGCTCCTGGTGAGCGAGGATGCTGGCAGAAATGATCATATCCATTGATAGACACTCGGCAGAGGTAGCACATCTGGGCACCACAGCGGCAAGACATGCGGTTGCAGCCTTCGGATTTGATGAGGCCAGTCCCACACTTGTGGCATTTTCTAATGCGAGCAGCAGTCATTTTTTCTTCACTGAAACGAACAAACAAACAAAAAATGAGTGAAACTGGCAAGAAAGATAAAGAGGAAAGAAAAATATGGCCATTATGTATTTCTTTCTTTCGACACGATTGCTTATGGCTTTTACTGACATTCAAAGAATGAAGAGAGTTTATAGTTTAGAGTCAGAACTGAGTTCAAAGTTTACCAGTTATAGATAATCTTGGGTAAATTACCCAACTGCCTGAAGACTCTGTTTCCTCATTTTTAAGTTGGGAAAACACAACTTTCTCAGTGTACGAAGGATGACAGAGAAAGGGCTGGACACCTACTAGCATTTAATAAATGACTGTCCTGTTCTTTACAGGCATCCCTGCAGGCTTAATGTCAGCAGAATAATTCAAGGTCTTCCTCGCATAGCCATTTTCTTTCTTTCTTCCTTCCCTCCTTCCCCCCTTCTCCTTCTTCTTCTTTTTAATTGCCAGGGTTTTGTGGGCTCACCAAAGAGACAGAGAAGGAGAGGGAGAGAGCACCCTCCAGTAGAGTATTACAATCCCTTCTCGGCTGTTTTTTTCTTGTTGGATTCCCAGGAATGTGTCTGGAGTACTCTTCAAGGTGCTGGGGTTGGGATTTGAACTGCAGTTGGCCATGTGGGATTTGGCTCCTTTAACCAGTATGCTACTGAGCTGACCCAAATTACGTCTTATACGTACAAAGTTGGATAACTGCAAGCCCTTAAGTCTAAAAGCTTAGTTATACACCCTGAATTAAAAAAAAATTATTTCCTTTCATTTATTATATTATTACTTGTTTCTAATTTGACCAGAAAGAGACAGAGAGAGAGGAAGGTTGAGAAGAATGAGAAAATAAGCTGCCAGGGCGAGGACTCGAACCATGGTTGGCCATATGGGAGTTTTGCACCTTTAACCACGCCACCTGCTTGGCCCTACATCCTGGATTTTTTAATACAGGGCCTGGGGGTAGGGCAGAAAGGGGAAAGGATGACTACACAGCCAGTTTATGACTTTTTCCTTCTTGGCAGAGCCAATATCCCATATCAGAATCCCTTGCAGAAATGATACTGCTTTTTATCAGGAGCTGCACTACCATACTAGGTACTTTAAAAAAAAATAAATTTAACTTTATTTATTTTTAATTTGACCAGAGAGGGAAAGTGAGAAAGCAAACCACCAGATCTGGGACTTGAACTGCGGTCAGCCATGTGGGAGTCCAGTGAACTGCGGTCAGCCATGTGGGAGTCCAGTGCCCTTAACCACCATGCCACCTGCCGGCCCCTTTAGTAGGTACTTCTATAGTGCTCTGCGTATATGCCTATGTTCCTCTATAAAATTTAGTGCATAGAAGGCAAAGAGTGCACTGCCATGCCCACACAGCATGGCAAAACATTGTTTTGATAGGAATGAGCTTAGAGGTGTGCTATTGAGGCCAGGGAAGAGCATAAGACCCAAAGATAGAAACCCGGAAAAGCAGAGTCTCTTTCCACTGCCCTTATCTCCTGTTCTCACAAACTGCAGCCTCAGTAGCTGCCTAAGATGCAAGCCAGCCTGCCCTAGACAAATGGGAACCCTTCCAAGTGGGAACCTAGAGAGCAGTGCCAGGAAGCACTGCTCTAGCTGAGAGATAGCAACAGGATATAGTGAGATTGTACCTGCAGATTTCTCTCAGCTGAGGATATGTAGCCTGGTTCCTCCCCTGTTCCCCTGGTTCTGCTAAGTGAGAGGAACCAGGTGAGTTTGGGGCAGGCAAATGTTTTAAATTTCTGATATTTAGAGATTGATGTAGTATGCTCCCTAGAAGCCAGTCAAATAATGTGTTTCAAAATAGAAAAGTACATTAAAAATATTGGCTCCTCTTTATTTAGGTCTAATTTAGGAATGGTTCAAAATGAAGAAAGACAAAACTTTGGTTTAGTAAGCATTTAAACCCAGTTCAAGTTACAGATGAACAAATCAAACTTAAGTCTTGTTGAATAGGAAACATCCTCAAGTGTCAATAGTAAACTTATTGTTGTTAACCTAATAATATAGTACATATACTCATTATTTTAGTCACTCAGCACTGTGAAGATTCAGTACTTCTCAGTGTTCCTTTTAAAAAATAATTGTTTGTTTATTTACTTATTATTATTTCACAGAAATTTTGCCAGTGGAAGATGAGAGAGAGAGAGGGAGAGAGAGAGAGAGGGAGAGGAAGAAAGCAAGCTGCCAGGTCCAGGATTTGAACCACAGTCAACCATGTGGGAATTCTAGCGCCTTAACCACACCACCTGCTGGTCTCATCAATGTTCCATTTTTTTAGAGATATTTTTGCTATAGGGCACATGTGCTTGCTGGAGAGACAGGGAGACAGAAAGCAAGAAATCACCCCCCAGAGGAGATGACCATACTGCAATTCCTTCTCCTTTATTCTCTTCTTGAGACCTTGGGCATGCATGCACACGTGCCTGGGGTGAGTTCAAAGCCACCAGATTCAGGACTTGAACTGTAGTAGACTACATGGGAGTCCAGTGATGTCACCATTATGCAATCTGCTGGTCCCTCAATGTTCCTTGTTAATATTCTTGAGGTTCTGATGAACCACTTTGAAAAGCTGTATCCAAAACACAGCTGTGATTTCTTTAGCATGAACCTTCTTTGTGAGAGTGCCCCAGAGGCTGCCATGCTCTGGCTGCAGTGAAAGAGAAGGAGTCAAAATGAGTCTTTTCCCAAAGGCTTGTAGAGAGGGCATATTTGGTGCTCTGTTCCAACTAGATGTCCATCAATGTGACACAGTGATGGGTGTGGTGGGAGATGAAATGGCCCTCTTAAAATGGATGAAGGAATATATAAAGAACACTCATGAATCAACACTGCTATAATGTTCACATAGCTATTCAATACTGCATTAACATCTATTTAACTCCAGAGCTTTTTACATGCTTAAGAATGGTATGAAAATGGTATGAGATAGGGCCAGAGTGGCCCTGTACTAAACAAGGATTGATATTTATAAGCTAGCAATAGCTATTTATGGGATAGATGTGACTACCTACCCAGTAACACAAAGGGGAAAAATGGGATTGGGGAGAAACTGCAGTTGAGTCTTCTACTAGGGATGGTCATTTGGCAACTAGATTCTAAAGTAGACAGGAAACAGCCCCACAGGATGTGTTCTTAGGGCAGGACAGGAAGAGAAGCCTGAGCTGTGGCTGTGTCTGCTGACCTCGTGTTCAAACAGGAAGGCTAAGAGTCGTCCTTTATGTCAGCAATTGGCATCCTGTGATTCCTTGATTATTGGTTCTTAGCACCAAGTATGTTGGGGACTCCTCTTTGGGAGCTGTCTATAGATCTTGTAGCATACACTATTCAATATCTTATGGATATAAGATATTGTACTCACTCCCTTTTATTGTGGTAAAATGCTTATAAAATTGACTATTTAAGCCATTTTAAAGTGTGCAGTTTTGGGTATTTAGTATATTCACAGTGGTATAAAATCATTATCACTAATTCCAGAAAATTTTCATAAACCCAAAAAGAAACTCTGTACCCAGTAAGTAGTGATTCCCTATCTTCACCACTTTTGCAATCACTAATCTAATTTCTCTCTAAAGATTGCTTACTCTGTGGATAGACAAATATCCATACACCTATGGGTACCTCATATAAATGGAAATCACAAAATGTGCCCTTTTTGTCTGGTTTCTCTTAGCATAATGTTTTCTTTTCGATGACTTAAAATTTTTTTTTTTCTGAGAGGTTTTTGCTATAGGGTGCGTGTACTCGCCAGAAAGACAGAGAAAGACAGAGAGACAGAAAGGGAGAAATCACCCCCCAGTGGAGATGGACACGCCGCAATCCCTTCTCCATTCTCTTCTCGTGATCTTGGGCATGCACGCACACGTACCTGGCTTGAGTTTAAGCCACCGGGTCCAGGGCTCGAACCGCGGTCAGCTACATGGGAGTACAGTGACATAGCCATTACGCTAACTGCTGGTCCCTAAAAAACTATTTTTAAAGAATTATTCATTTAATTTTTATTTATTATTATTATTATTCAATTTGACCAGAGAGAAACAGAAAGAGAGAGAGAGAGGGAAAAAAGAATGAGAGAGTAAGCCCTCAGGTCTAGTACTCAAACCACGGTCAGCATGTGGGAGTCCAGGATCTTAATTACCACACCATCTGACCATCCCCTTTCTTTCTTTTTCCTAAGTACCAAAGGGCACGTGTATTTGCCAGAGAGAGAGAAAAAAAAGACAGAGAAGGAGGGAGAAAATATCTTCTAATGGGGCATGGTAATACTCCAATCCCTTTTCCTTCACTTCATCCCACTGGTATCAGGAATCCATACATATTATTTTGTTCCCAGTGTGCTTTTTAAGCTGTTGGGGCTGAGATCAAAACCACAGTCAGTTGTGGGATCCAGCTCCCTTAACCACCAGGCTACGAAGCCAGCCCTATCATAATGTATTCAAGGTTCATTGTGTTGTGTGGCCTGTATCAGTACTTCATTAATTCATTCATTTTAAATTTGACCAGAAATAAACAGGGAGAGAGGGGAAAAGTGAGAAAGCAAGCCACCAGTCCAGAACTTGAACCGTGGTCGACCATGGTGGGAGTGTCCAGTGCCTTAACCACCATGCCACATGCTGGTCCCAGTACTTACTATTTTTTAAAAAAATGAATTATTTATTTAATTTTATTTATCCAGTAATTTATTTTAATTTGACCATGGTTGGCCACTTGGGAGTGTCTAGTGCCTCATGCTACCTGCTGGCCCCTCAGTACTTACTTTTTATGGCTGAATATTATCTCATTGGAAGAATGTATCTTATCTATTTACCGATTCATCAGCTGATGAACATCTAGGCCACTAGGAACTGTACTACAATGAACTTTTTGATTTTTGGCCAGAGGACATGTATACTCATGAGATAGAGAGAGACAGAGAGACAGAGAGAGAGAGAGAAAGCACCCCACATATGAGAAGATCACACTGCAACTCCTTTTCCTCCATTTATTTCTAGCCCT